ATATATATATATATATTTATTTATTTATTTTATTTTATTTTTTTGTCCCAGGGTTTGAACTCTGGTCCTTGTGCTTGTGAGGCAGGTGGCAGCACCACTGAGCTAAATCCCTGGGCCTAGAAATATTTTCTCCCAGTTTGTAATTTGTCTTTTCATTCTCTTAAAATAAGGGTCTTTCACAGAATGAGGGAGAAAAACAAAAACAAAAAACAAAAACCCAGAAAACAAAAACAAGCTGAGTCAAAGAGAACAAACAAAATAAATAATAAAATGATACACCTACATTCAAACATATCAGTAACCACTTCAAATGTAAGTGGTCTAAATAAACCATTAAAAGAAAGAGATGATCAGAATGGATTTTAAAAATACAAACTGAAACTATGACTTAACTACATGCTATTACAAGAAACTGAATTCAAGCAGACAGGTTAAAAGTACAATTAAATCTCCAACTTACAAACATTTGAGTTGCGAACTTCCACAGATACAAACAGACCTTGCATTATGAACATTTGTAGATGCTCACTCCATGCCATCCCCTATATGCCAGTTATCACCATTTTAAGGTTCTATAAAAGTAAAAGTTTATTTACAGTATTTTGTGTTTTTAATGCTTTACATTTACGTCTGTGTCAAAGATTAGTAGACTTACTTTGTTGGATTTATGAAGGAATCTGACTTATGCACTCCTGGAACAAACTCATCTGTAAGTTGGGGACTTACTGTAAAAGGTTAATATACATATAAATAGGTTAAAAGTATAAGTGTAGAGAGATAAAAAGTAGGATAGAAAAAGATGTACATGTAAACAGAATCAAAGAACACTACAGTGGCTCCATTAGCATCAGTCAAGGTCATTTCAGCATAAAAGGATAATGAAGGGCTTCACCTAATGTCGAGTCCATCTACCAAGAAGACACATTTTGAGGGAGCCCGAGACCAGTTCCAGATCTACTAGTTCACTATGAGGATGCATAGGCCTCAGCAAATAGATTCACAGCTAAGATTTATTAGGGCAAAGGATACAAAGCAAAATCAGGAAAAGGAAGGGTCTAAGGGGCAGCATCTAGAGGAAGCCAGGTGCAGGCGTGTGAAAGTCCTCTCTAGGGTGGCACACAGGACCTGCAAATTCTTCCTTTAGGAGTTGTAACTACATGCCTAAGGTCTATCTGCCAGAGGTATCCCGAGTCCAGAAGTCTGGGGTTTTTGTTGAAGTTGAATGATGTAGGTCCTCTGCTTAACATTTACAGGCAAGCTGACTCCCAGAAGCAAGGAGACACACTCAGCATGGGCCACAGTGTCACCCTCGTCCGGGCACAATGAATCACTCTATCATTTAGGGCAAGTTCCATGTCTGTGTGGGAACTAACACATTCCCAGAGGTCATCCAAAGCCAGCCTTCTATACAGGAATTTCTAAGAACAGCTGTCTCAGTAAGGCCTGGTCATTAAATTCTTTTTGTATAGCACACTAGTCCTAAGTGTGCACACACTCAGCAGTGGCACAGGCTTTGCTCGCAGCTCAGTGAGTGTTAGGGCAAAGCTGCCCGTATTCTTCATTCTAGCCTTGGGTCTGTAGCCTCTGGTACATCCAGCACATGTATTGGCTCCTCCTTGGCCTAGATCCTGTCCAGAACTCAGTACCTTGGTTTCTAGGTCGTTACTACTCAGTTACTCTCTCACTGATGTCTGATGTCCACTTTCCCTGGGTTATGCTGAGGGTGATTTGCTATGCAATCTCTATTCTGGGGAACTTACTAAGATTCTCCCTGTGATAATCAATCTTGGCAAATGGGATGAGCAAAGATTGTTGCTCTCTGCTTGTAGGGTACAAAACTACAAAAATACTCATTTCAGCCATTCCATCATATGGGTTCATTTTCTCTACATTCTTTCTTTATGTGTCACCCAGTGATGGATAAGTTCTAAAAATGCATTGTTTGGCAATTCCTGCCTGTGTGGATGTCATAGAGTGAACCCACAGGAGTCAGGGTGACACAAACCACGACACACCTGGGCCATGCCGTAACCTAGGGGCCCAGGTCTCCTGTGTGGTTGGTGGAGGAAGCGTAGGTTGGCTGTGCACCTGTGCTGATGGCCCACAGGGCAGGACAGTTCTCCCTCTCCCTCTCTTCCCTGCTGTTACTGTGTGTTTCTGAGGTGTGGTCCATGACTTGCTGTAGAGAAACTCTGCACGGCTTTGGCCTGTGTCATGGACCGAAGCTGGCTGATGGGATGAGTGTGGGAGGGGTGTGTCCGGCCCAGCCCGGGGCTCATAACATCATGAACTCCAGCCCCTCTGCTGATGCTGGATGTCTGCTGAAGACAGAGTCTGAGTGCTGGGTGGAACAAGTGCCCCTTTGGCTTGGGCCAGTTTTTCCAGAGCTGCTGGGTAGGAACAGAATAAATATCCAGGTTCTTTGGGCCCCTTCTGAGAATCTTCATCAGGCTGCACAGACTATCCCATGGGCAGTGCTGGCCCCAAAGAAGCCAGAGCAAATCTGGGTGGGGGAGCAGCAGTGTTGGCACCATCTCAGGTTGGTGCAGACCCGGGCTGTAACCTAGGAATAAATGAAGCCTGCACGGTGGTGGCAGGTGGGTGCCACTCTGAGAGGCCCTGGCACAGGCTGGCTTCCTCTTTTGGGCTGGGCCACTCAGAGCTCCTCAGCAGTGGACACAGTACAGCTGGATGTTTCCACTGACCTGGAGCTCCCGCAGTCTCTCCAGGGCCTGCTGGCCCAGGCTGGTGGCCCCCAGGCTCTGGCCATTGAGTGCCAGCTTCAGCCCACCCTCTTGGCACAGGAGCAGCACCTGGCAAGGGGCCATGTAGGTGAGTGGTGTCCACATAGACCCCTTCCCTGGGGGACAAGGACATGACTTGGAGGCTCAGCTTGTCATCAGTCCACCACGGCCAATGACCAGGGTCTTCTTGGTTTTGGCCCATTTTGCCAACCGCACTGGGGCCTTGCTGTCAGCAAAGTGGTTTCCACCCTGGCTGTGCTCTTGATTTATTTGGGAAGCTTTCACTTAAGTGATGCATGGGTCCCCACTTGCACTTACTGTGCCTGGTCTCTGGGTTAGGGCCCCAGCACTGGCACAGAGGGCTGTGTGCCAGCAAATAGACGTTCTCTCTGTTGGCTCCTAGCCCTGGGCATCCACCCTGTCCACCCACCCCAAGGTAACCAGGTTATTGTGGGGTTTAGCTCTGGACTCCATCCAGAAGGATGTGCCACGTGGCTCTGACCTACCTCAAAAAACCGCTGGGGGTAAAAGAGGAAGGGCGCCGCGATTAGTGTCTTGCTTCCCCAGGGAGAGACCCAGGACAGTGTGTAGTCTGAGAAGGAGACTCTGAGCATCACAGGTATCCGGGCAGCCTCGTCCCTCAGACTCAGTGTGAAGCTGCAGGAAGTGGCCAGAGCAGGGTGTTGGCCGCCCGGCCGTCCCCCTGTCCCGAGGACACTGAGTACCAGGCAGGGATGGGGGCAGTCCCAGGGCTAAGTGCCGAGACTGCCCAGGGCTGAGTGCCTGATGCCTCATGGTGCAGAGGAGCTAGAAGAACAGGTTTAGAGCTGAGATCAAGCTCTCGGCTGACTGAGGGGCCATGGCAGGGGGTTATCACCTAGCTGGAGCCTCAGTTTCTCCTCCTGAAAATGAGGATAACTACGGAGATAAAAAGTGGTGGTTAGTACGTATTGAATGTTAACTGAATTCCAGGTGTCTTAATTTGTAGAATGCTCAGTGGTTAGAGTCAACTCTGCTGCTTTCTGGTCCCGGGACCTCAGGCAAGTCATGCAATCTCTCTGCCCATTTCTTTATCTGTAATTTAGGAATAATAACAGCTCTTCATTGGAAAGGAACCTGGTCGTCCTGCACTTGCTCCCTCTATCTGACTCAAGCCCTCAGCTGTTCAGAAATGGTAGCAGCCTAGTGTTTGCCATGGGCCTGCCAGTGCCAGGCATGGGCTAAGTTTGGATGGATGTTTGTGGGCCACAGCTGAGCAGGCCTTTGGGAATATTCTGCCTGCTCTATGATCGTCTTTTGTTTGAAATGAATGCCACATTCAAAGACCAATTTTATATAAAAGATGGCTTTTGACTTCTCTTTAGAGAGAGACAGAAGACCTGGCATGACAGGACCCTGGGATATTCTTTCTCTGCACCTCATGCATCATGGCTGCTGTCACTAACAACCACCATGTGACCTTGAGCTGGGACAAGGATCTGGTATCAGGCCTCCCAGTTTTGGGGGAGGGAGATGTACTTGGTCACCAAATCCCTTTTTAGCTCCCCACCAGTTTGGGACCATCTTTCTCTTCTTCCAGCAGGGGAAGTCAGACACACAGAGTGCCTTGCCTGAGTACACAAAAGTACTCAGGGGAGAAACCAAGGGAGGACCTGGCTCCGGGAGCCCTCCTTCCAACCTAGTGCTTCAGAGCTCACCTGTGTCAGGAGCTCGAGGGGAAAGGCCTGGTGAGGTCAGCAACTTAAAATAAGACAGTGGCAAGGCAGAGAGAGCACAGGTGCTGCCCTCTCCACCATCCCCTGCCTTGAGGTAATTCCGTCACCATCCATTGTAGTTCACCATTCTGAGCACCACCCAAGTCCCACATCACCATTAACCCCTGACTGATCCGGACCCTGGGGCAGAGAGGAAACGTCAATGCCCGGTGTTACACAAGTAACAGGTGACCAGAGCAGGTGACAAAACAGGCAGTGTGCCCTGGCAAAGGCACAGAAGCCAAGGCCTTTCCTCCAGACAGTCAGCTGGCCTGGCTTTCCCTCCAGGGGGCACTTAGACCCAGGCCTTGGTCCAGCTAGATTTGCCCACCAGACCTAGGTCTGAGCACTCTCTGGAGAAAGAGCCAGGCAGCACCATCTTGCAAGTGTCTCCGAGTCCTGGATCCTGGTTTCGGGGTGTCAGCTGTCCCTTCTGGGATAGTCACCTAAATCAAGTCTCATGTCCCTGTGAAAGGCCACGTGTGCTCCCTGGGCCTCAGCTTGGTTCTGCATGGCATTTTCTTTTCCCCAGTGGCCCCACAGCGGCACCAGTACAGGAGATGCTGCCACAAGATGGCCACTAGTCCCCATCCCAGCCTAACTTTTATGGGCTCTATGACTTTGGTCAATTTACGGCTCTCTATGCTGTTTTCTCACCTGCAGCAAGGGGATTGCATGGTGGTGCTGGGAAACTAAAAGAGGTGATGCTTGGTTGGATACTTACTGCTTTGGTTCTTGCAAGACCAGCCCCCGAACTATGATGACCTGTCCAGGCCAGAGTCCCCTAGAAAGGGTGCGTGAGCAGGGCAGCTCCTGAAGGACAGGGAGAGGATGGAGACAGTGACCTGGGGAACTCAGGAAGGTCCCCATTGCCAGGAGCAGCTTCTGGGCTTCTCAGTGGTGGGGAGCATTGGGGTAGCAGGTTCTCCTCACTGGAGTCAGCATCATGTGTCAAGTAGCTCCTGCTGCAGGCCTGTGGGGTGCAGCTTGGGCATCTCCTGCACAAACGTGCATCAGGGGCCTGAGCACACCGGGCTGTCACAGCTGTGTGGTGGCTCATTCCACCTCAGTCTACGAACAACAGAGGCTGAGGCTGCCCTGACTCTCCATCTAGAGCCTGAACTGGGAAGCATCCAGTATCTTCTTGCAGCATAAATGGAGGAAAGGGAAGACAAATCTGGAGCTTTCGCCTGGAGCTGCTTAGCTTGCCCATAGCATACAAGAAGGAAAACTGAGGCTGGGGGCTTTTTCCAGTACAGGATGCCCATGTCTTGACTCCTCCCTCTGCTCTGAGGGACCTGATACGGGATTACACCTCCAAGGGACATGTGGGGTCACTCACCAGCCGGGGACTCTGAAGCAGGAAGGGCTGTGGAGAAAGAGAGACCCAGGAGCCCTTGGGGTTTGTCATACGAAGGGAGTCCTGGAGGTCATCCTACTCCTTGGGGACCCTGGGGCTTCTGTCTCTCATGGCAGCAGTTGTGGGAGCCCCAGAGGGGTCCCTTGAATCCGGGACCCCCTGGCTCTGGAGCCATGGGGAGGAATCGCACCATGAGCAAGCTCAGGGGCCTCACTGCTCTCTGTGCTGTGAGGTTCACCCCAGCCCTTTGCATGGTGGATCTGCGGATCCAGAGCTCCCACCGAAAGGGGTCTTCTGCTGGGAGTTGTGGTCCCTAATCCCTCCAGGCCTCAACCCTGTCATCTCCCCGGATGACCCTGAAGAGAGGCTGGGAAGGACAAGTCCAGGTCCCACCCACGGGTGCAGCCACAGGAGGGAAGGGCACGGGGCCTGAGCAGTGGAAGCAGCAGGTTGGCTCTGTCCGACCACAGGTCCAGCCAGCCACACCTGACTCACGTGTCCAGCTGGATACTCTCTGCTGCCTTCTGCAAATGGCTGTTCAGAAAGAGAAGGGCACATCCAGGACCCCGCAGGCCTTGAGGCTGCCCACGTGGCCCTTCAGCCACCTGACCGTGCCTGCTTCCCACAGCTGGGCAGTACGTCCTAAACCTGGTTTCTGAGGTGTAGTTCCCACACTTGCGTTGGGCTTGTTGAGTCAGAGTCCTGGATGGCAGGTCCCCAGGTCTGTTTTGGAAGTTTGTTGGGGAACGAGGCCCAGCCAGCTGCAGCTTGTTTAGATACTGCTGTGCTTAGCACCTGGCTTCCCCGGCACTGCTTCTCCTAAAGCCAGCCTGGCCAGTAGGACAGACCCTGCCTGTAGCTCGGTGCCCCTGTCCACTGGAACCTTTTCTCTCCCCTCTCACACCTGGCATTGTGGGTTCCCTGCCCTTTTCTCTGTCACGGGTGTTCTGGCCTTCTCTGCCAGAACAGAAGTGGGTCCCACATTCGTCTGGGTGTCAGGAAGTCAGAGGCCTCCATGGCCCAGGCGTTGGCCCCAAGGGAACTCACACTGATGTTCAGGAATCCAACGGTCTGCACCAAGATGTCCCCAAATATGCCCAAGGTGTCCACCCGAGAGAGCGGGAGCCGGTAGCGGTAGTGGAGGAAGTGCTGTCCGTTCACACTCACCTGCAGAGCAGCCGCGGGACTTCATACCACCTCTGTGAGGCGGGGCCTGCCTCCCTCTCTGCCCCAGAGAGCAGTCTTCTCAGCGTGACAGGTGATGAAAAGGACATTTGGGGGAGAGCCTGGGTGGTGACTCCCACCCTCAGTCCTTTAACCATGCCTGGCCCTCGAGATTCTGCCACCTTTCTGGCAGGGGTTGCTGAGGGGCCTAAGCCGAATGTCACCTTTTCCCTGCTACTGCCACTGTCAGATGGCGATCATAAAGTCACCCACCCTGGGTTTGTGGACCAGTGGCTCAGAGGACTGGGTGTGGATCAGTGACAGTACTTGCCTAGCATGCACATACAGGGCTCTGGGTCGATCTCCAGCCCCTGAAACCCCCAAGGTAAGGGCTTAGAAGTACCTGGTATCCAGCAAGCACTCTGTAAGTACTCCCTGTGCCATGGAAGGGGCCCAGGGTGGACAGCATGGTGGCTCCTCAGCCCTCTCCCCCGAGTGCCATTGCACTGGGTGGGGGCAACAGCCAAGTGAAGGAGGGTGGGAGCACACAACTCTCTGGGACCACCCTCTTGCTCACCTTCACCTCCTCATTCCCAAAGAGAAAGAGGATGAGGAAGCCAGTCCCTCTCTGCAGGGCCAGCCCAGGCCACCGAGCCTCGGTCTGCCAGTGTCCTCTGTGCAAGGTGTTGCAGATGACATGGGGCCTGCTGGTGTGGAAGCGAGGGTTGAAGTGGATGATGATGTCTGGCTGTGGGTTCAGGCTGCAGCCGCACTGGAAGTCCACCTGAAACCTGCAGCAACTCTATCAGAGCCCACAGAGTCTGCTGAGGTGGGGGAGCCCCAGCTGCATCCCCAGAGCTCTTCCAGTACCTGTGTGCATCTAGGGGGACTGTTCCCTGCAACATGACCATCTTGCCTGCATGCAGGCCGCCAAAAATGGTTGTGACGTAAGGAACAACCTGAGCAAGGGGAGGAAGCCATTTGTGCGGTTGGAGGAAAGGCCAGGGCCCTGTGGCTGGGCAGTAGGGAAGGAAGAAGAGGACACTCAGCTCTCCTACTCTGAACAGGGAATGTCCTTACTGGGAAGAGTCAACTTCCTCTAACATGTTCTCTTCTACTTCCTTCTCTTGGGTGAAGATGTGTCACAGCCACTCTGTGCCCACCAGAGCACCTCTCAGTTCCCTCTCCCAGCCCAGGGTGTCATGGCTGCTGTGTCCCCAGGGAGGCCACCTCAGTCCCCAGAAGCCTGACTTTGAGGCTTTCTGGAGACTATCTAATGGCTACGGTCTAGGAAGCAAAAAGACTGGACAGAATGGGACACGCCCTAAGGGCGGGGGCTAAAAGTGGCCCAGATGTCTTCCTAGGCCATTGTTTCCACAGGGAAGCTGTTACCACTAACCCCGATCCTTCCTAAAACATACTGCATGTGTTCCAGCCCCCTAACCCTAAGCTTAACCCCACCATAGCTCTGGAGCTGTCCTCCTTCCTGCCCCTATGTCTTCTCCAAGCACCGTCTGGTTGGTGTCTGTATTATTCCAGTCTCCCTGAGCAGCACAAGCATGTGCTTGTGTCTGGCTTGGTCCTGGCCCTGGCTGTCTCCCTGTGAGACCCCTCAAAACTGCACCTCTACAGAGCACTCTGGAGGACCCTGAGATCGGGCTGCGTGTGTTGCCTTCTAGCCTTCAGAAGCAAAAGCCACCTAGAAAGAGTTGGGGCCCTAGGCTCAATTCTGGGCTGCAGCTTGTAGCTGGTACAGCAAGGAGCTTGGAACTTGCTGGTCAATTGGGCAGCTGAGCAGGACAGGAGGCCAGGGACCTCACCTGTCACAGCACTGCTGCTTAGCTGGCTCAGCAGCCCGTGTTCCTGCTTCCTGTGCTCCCGGCAAGAAGGGTTGCAGAGGGGCTGACAGAGCCCAGGAAAGAGGCACCCAAGCGAGGAAGGTGATTAGAGTGTCCCTTAGTGGGGCGTCTGTAGGAGCGGCTGCTACAAGTCTACCGGACACCCAGCGAATGAGAGGAGCAGAAGGAGGCAGCCTCCTTTCCCCTTCCCCAGCTTCCTGGAAATGGGGACCCCAGGGTCCCAGCAGGCTCCAGGCTGTGGGAGGGGGTTGCTGCTCACCGGGTAGAAGACTGGCGGCTGCAGGATAAAGCTGTCAGGAAGTGGATCCAGCTTCTCCCCAGGGTCCATGGCTGCCTGTGCTTTTGGGGCTGCGCTGTGACTCCCTGGAGCTGATGAGACTGGGGTGCTGGGGCCTGGAGCTGTCCCCGAGGCCTGCAGCTCCCCGGCCAGTGAGGAGGGGTGGACGTGAGGCCCCGCCTGCCCAGCAGCCTCCTCTCCTCCCCTCATCTCTGCCCCTTGCCCCACTCCCCTGTTTCCAAGTTTCACAGTCCCCCATGGGCCCATTTCAGCATTAGTTGGCATTGCCAGGTGCAGCTGGGGTGAAGAGAGCGCTTTGAAAACAGGGTAAGGAGAGGACCCCCACCCCAGACTGAGAAGAGATGGTGAGGTGCTGGGGGTGCAGAGGACTGGACTCCTGCTCAGTCTCTGCTCAGGCATGCTGTGTGCTCTTGGGCAAGCTGCTGCCCCTCTCTGTTCCCTGTGGAAGGAGGTGGAAGCCACAGTAGTATCTCACTGGAGGTCTGGGTCAGAAAGAGCCTGGATATCCATTTTAGGAAAGACTTTCCAATGCTGGTTCAAATTCTAGGAAGCCTTCCCTTTACTAGTGCAGTCTGTTAACTTTAGCCTGACTTGGGAGGCCCTGTACTGCAGCCCGACGTCCTGGCAGGACCGGACAAGGATAGGGGCCAAGTGCATAGCTTGTGGTGGCAGAGGGCAGAGGGCAGAGGGTGGGAGTTTGGGTGAGGAGACAGAGCAGGGCTGCTCTGCTTCGGGGCCCCTGGATCTGGATGCCAGGCCCCAGCTGCTGCGTTTGAACAGGCCAGTGCCACTCCAGGAGAAGCTCTCACTTAGGCCTCACTGGAAGGCTTAGGGTGCAGATGTTGCTGGGCAGGTGGAGTGGGGAGCAGATGCTCACGTGGCAAATTAGGTCAGGAGCATCCAGGAAAATGGGGGGCAGTGGGAGGCCAGTGAAGACCCTGGGATCAGACTGCAGCCCCTCCCAGCAGGGCCCATCTGTGGCCCGAGGCCAGGCCCTCGCCCCCTCAGCTCCAGGACTTGCTTACTTACCGCAAGGGAGAAGTCTGTTCTCTCCCTGCTAGAGGGCTGGGCGGGCATCTCCCGACCTTTCTCCACAAGTTTGCACCTTAATCTCTTCTGTGCAGACCCTGACCATGTGACCTCGTTCTACCTTAACGACTGCTTCGGAGACCTGAGTACAGCCCTCTCAGGCGAACCTGGCTTGGGATACCTGTGAGGGTCCCGAGTGAGCTTGAAACACCCCAGGAGCTTGTCCCTGTTCCAGGACAACAGGGGCCCGAGTGTCTGTGGATCTGTCTGGAGCTAGGGTGTGGCAGATCAGTTTTTCAGAGCCAACGCCTCCTGGTCCCCGGCCCTCCCCGCGCCCAGCCCCCGCCGTTTG